TATATATATATATATATTATTACCAATTTGACCCTACTTCAACCATGATTAAACAAATGAACTGTAAATCAGTGCCTATACCAGTCCAACAGTGACTGATTTTAAAATCATTGATTAGCACTCACTCTAAAGTTGGACTCAAGTCCACGGATGTTCAAACCTTTATTAAGAAAGTAACCACCTAGAACAAATAATTAAAAGCAGGTTGTAATTGACATCTTAATATATTGGCAATCATGATTGGACAAACTGATACAAGACCCCTCATTAAGAAGGTATGCAACCGAAGGCAAAAGAATAGAGATGGGAATACAGCTGATATGGGTGCAGATGTAACTACCCCGCCAAGCTGTTATAACAGACCCCACTGTACCAGCAACGGTATTGGAAAAAATCCAAATTCTACATCAACTAGAGATAAAGCAAACAAAAAGTATATAATTGGGAAACAATCATCACCATACAAGCCAATTTTGTAGAGTTCAGTTAGGGCCAAACTCACTGTAAGAAACGGTAACCAGTAGAAAAAATAGGAAGACAAGTCAGAGTTTGGGGTGTGATTTGTAGTATTCTTTGGGAGAGGTTCTAGGCATGCACTCTCGAATTGCCCTGAGTTATAAATATTTTCTTCTCTAGGTTACATGTATCTAAGGTTCACCTTAATAAAATTTCATTTTCTTCATTTGGATCTAAATCCCTAATTTTCCCCCTTTTTATCAGTTGATTCTATCACACGCTATTGACCCAGAGGCAATGACTAGAAATTGAAAAACAGATTACACAATACAAAACATTAGTGGCACACAATAACTATCCTTCATTCACATTTACATATAAAACAAATCTTTGGGAACCAAGGAACTTACGCTATGTCACCAGCAGTTGATGGTGCACCATACTCATCAAAGAGGCGCATAAGATCTCCAAATTGTCCATGTAAATCACCAAATATTTTAATTGGAGCCCTAAGCTTTAAGACACTTGGTTCACTTGAAAATATGCGTTCTGCACTATCACAGAGATCTGCAATTTCATTGCAGTCCAAAAAAAACTGCCTGCGAACTGGTGGTTTCCACCCGCGAGGCTTTAAGAGGTGAGCTACAACCTACAAAAAAAGAGGTCCAGAAACCCCATAAGAAACAAGCTGAGCATAACATGATGCCATTGCCAACATGATGGATGATTCAACAAAATAGTTATGGTAAAATCAACATGTAGACAGAAGAAAATCAGGATTCAACACCACATGATCAAAATATTGCCATGAACAAAAGGGGTGTGATAGAGTAGGTAATGTCAACAAAACGAAGGTTAATGAACAAGACTTACCAAATGTTCTGCATCTGACCCTACTCATGGCTCCCAGATTTGGTAGGTCAAGTGGACAATATTTAATAGTTCATGTTATTTTAAACCAATGAGACATAGGGCAACTGATCCATTACTATTGCCTAATTATTAAATAAAATATGTATTACTTCTAATAGAACTAAATTTTGATCCACTGGCTGTGTTAAAAGTTCACACTATCAGCTAATCATTGTTTTCAGTTTTCACATCATTAAAAAGTGTGCCAACGATATTAGACAGAACAAACTCTATCAACATCATGGCAACACATTATTCATAAGCGTAAAAAAATGTCAGTGGAAGAACATTAAACATTTTTCTAATATTATAAGTATGAATACTCTAATCAATTATAACTAGCTACGGAGACAAGTCTGTACCTTCTTCGGGACACTATTGATAGACATCTGCCGGTCTAATAATTTTCTAGCAGCTGTTGCACTTTCCGGAGTCCCATAACTGACCCGCCTGCCTTCATTCTCAAACTGATCAATTGAAAGCTGTCTAACCATACCACCTAATGCTCCACCAGTCTCTGCAGCAACAACCACCTGCAAAAAATTCCAGAAAATAGATATGGGACTTCAGCATTCATGGAACTCTTGAAACAGCATAATTTTCCTTGGAAAATAAAAATATATTACTCACAGCTCTGTGATGCAGCCTCACTCCACCAGGAGGAATGCTATTTGACCCAACAGAATCAGGCTTAATCAAAGAAGATATTTGTTTCCCACTAGGTGTTGCCTCTGCCCCACGGTCTCGGTCAGGCAACTCAACTTCACCATTCACTTGTCGTGCCTTGGCAGCAGCAAGTGTTGCACTGATAGCCTCAGCTTCCGCAGCTGATGCTTCAACTAGATACTCAACTCCTTTGCTAGTTCGCCTATTCAAAATTATTCACATGAATGACAAGCCAAAGTAACAATTTCGTATTTCACTGAAAAGATGTTTAGATGATAAAAACTTCCATACCGAGAACCCGGGAGCATGGCATTTTCAGTGCTGATATCGGTATACATGTCGCCATTTACAGGGGGGGCAACTGGATTTCCCAAAACAACTGAACCATCAGGAACTGCTTCAGGCATGGTTTGCCTTGTCCTATCATCAACAAATCCATACCGCCCAGGTAGTCGTCCCGCTTGTGCATTAGATGCAGCTGCTGCTGCAGCATGTGATGCAGCAGTTGTTGTTTCAGCAGCAGCAAGATCTTCAGCAACAAGTAGGTCATCCAGCAAGACCCCTGCAGCATACACATAATACATCATGGTCAGTCCTACATGTAAAGTAAAAATTTCGAAGTCACCACAATATAAAATCTAAAAGCAAGTACAAGAGCAAGCATCGATCAACAGGAATTGACTGGCCATCCTCAACAACTGTCAAATTCAAAATAACATTGTAATCTTAGCTCCACACACACACAGAATTCAGCAACTAGGTTAATTGGAATTATCTTTCATAATTGTTCACTCATGCCATAGCAAACTATATGCGGGATACCGCTATTCTAATTTATATATATATATATATATAAATAATAATTTATAGTATATATAATTAATATTGTACATATAAAATAGAAAAGTAACTTAATTTATACATTAAATATTTTGGATAATAAAAATTTATAGTAGTTAAACAAAATATATATACATATAATTAACAAAACAAAATGCTTAAGGTCTTATATTATATTTTTTTATTACTTAAAATATTATCTGAATTATAATAATAATAATTATTATTATTATTATTGAAAATAAAGAGAAATTACTGTCTAAAAAAATAGAGAAGTAGAAATAAACTTTACCTAGGCCCATTCACCAAACCAAAAGAGAAAATAAAATTTGGACCCATTGGCCCAACTTTTCCAACTCTATTTTGTTTACTACAACCTCTAACCCTAAGACCCATTAGCAACCACCTCCCTCCCCTCTTAAAAAAAGACAGATCTGCAGATGATCTGCCGGAGAAGACATGCTGCCCCGTCAGAGAAGACAAATCCTGTGCCTGTCGGAGAAGATAGAACTGCCGCGATCTGTCGGGGAAGAGAGAGATCTGCAGAGATCTGTCAGGGAAGAGACAGATCCGCAGAGATCCACCGGAAAAAAAGACAGATCTGCAGATGATCTTCCGGAGAAGACATGCTGCCCCGTCAGAGAAGACAAATCCTGTGCCTGTCGGAGAAGATAGAACTGCCGCGATCTGTCAGGGAAGAGACAGATCTGCGGAGATCTGTCAGGGAAGAGACAGATCCGCAGAGATCCACCGGAGAAGAAGACAGATCTATAGGAAACCCACTGGAAGAAAAGAAGGGAAAACATGCCGCCCAACCCTCGATCGCACTGCCACTCTCCACTGCTTTCGCAGCCACTCCTTTAAAGCGCTCTGCATCAAGTTTCTAGTGACGGCACTAGCCACTCCGCTCTGCTCCACCACTATCACAGCCACTCTGGCCACTATTGATAACTATGTAGCAAACCTAGTTGAATAGTAACACCCTAATGTTTCTCTTAACAGTCTAGATGTGCTCTTCTCAACTCAACCTTTTTCCTCAAAACACCTAGCTAAACATGTATCTGATCAAAAGAATTGAAGCTGTGATCAAGTGATTTGAGCTATTTCATAAGTTTTTATCTTCCAACTCTTCTCCTAGCACCATTTTTAAGAATTCAAATTCTGACAGACATCATTCTCTATCATGAGTCTAAACAAAATAAAAAATAACAAATTTAACCAAAATATTTAGCAAAATAAAATATGTAGTAATTAAATTTTCATCATAAAGCAGGCTGACCTAATGAACCACATTGATCAAACAATCATGCATTTTCAAGAAAATAGAAAAATAAATTCCATTTAGATGAATTCATGAAACATTAAATTTATGACTTACCGCCACGTAAACCACCATAAATAAAAATCAAGTCACCAATAGCAGCAGCAGCATGCCTACAACGCCGGGTCAACTCAACTGAGGCATCTCCACCAGCTGCATCAGCACTGTATCTACCCGTTCTTGGACTGGTAACAACAGATTTTGTATCACACCAAACACCAGCAGCAGTATCCAACACTACAAACAGGGAAAAACATTAGAAAAAATTTCTCAATGCAGCATTAATTAGCATAACAATAAATCTTGCTTTCACATACAAAAAATAAAATTACCATTGGAAAATAATAACTAAAGGCTACAGCGGCAACTAGGCACCAGCAAGCTACCCTACAAACAGTAGCTACAACAGTAATGGAACTTCAAAAGTATCTGTTATTGCTTACAACAGAACATCCAGATTTCCACAAGAATATTCTCTTTCTCAATTTCACCAAAAGAGAAGTCGTCCTTCTATCACAAAATGAAAATATATGTACACAAGAGTAGAGGAAGACAGAGCAAGGGCATAAAGACCAATAACTTTTTTGCAAAGGATTTAGCTTCTGTAAAGTGAGGCATACACTTTAGAGAATTAAGTACTAAGTCATAACTGATGATCTAAAAATAAAAGGAATAGATTTTAACTTGATAGTTTGTTATGCATGTGCATGTTTTCTATTACAATCTAAGCCATTGATTTTTTAATCAACAGTTATACTATACACTTCACCCAAGATCAAACAAGGCAAAAGGGAACCAATCAAAATACAAAATTTAAGCAACACTGTAATCAGGTACCTGCAACACTCGACGAATCTTCAACCATCCGTCCTCCTCCAAGAGCCCCACCAGACACATGGAGCCTTGCATTAACAAATACCTGGAATCATTAAACAAGTAAATTACAATTTACAGTCCTTGGAACATACAACCAGCAAAGAAAAGCATAAAAAATAAAAACTAAATCATACCGCTGCATGCTGATATCTTGGAGATGGTGAGACACCAGGGGCAATGGCCCATTCCCAACGACCATCTCTATGCTTAGCAAGTCCATATGCACTTGCCAAAGGCTGTAATGTACAATTTGGGGAAGGGCAAGAGGGAAAAAAAATATATGACCAGAAGGTCAGAAATAAGCAATTCACAAAGATCACAAAAGTATTTAACAGAAACCAAACAGAATTGAAAGAATCCACCAGCTAGTGTTTGTTAATAAGAAATAGGATAAGAAAACAGAAAGCAGAAATAGATAAGAATAACTATCAGTGGACTGCTTATTTACTTGCAGGTGATAACCTGCCTGAACAATTAGGGATTTCTTAGAGTTGTTGGATTTCCTAACAGGCTAATAATTTATATTCTTCTCAAGTTGCCTCTTATATTGGGATTTTAGTGACGGAAAAAAACTTCGATAATAGAAGTAGGTAAGTACTCATCATTTATTAAAATTCACTTGAATCTACTCGCTTCAGTGCATATTCTGATACAAGGTTTGAACACTGCACACTTCTGGATTCTTCTCTTGTTTATCCTCCTCCAATTTCTCACTCATTCCCCTAACTGTCAAAGGTTTCTCCTAGACAAAACTGGGTGGAAGTCCAAAGTTCCCTCTAGTAAATTCCTTGGCTCAAACAGCAGTTTCAACAACATTAAGATATTATTTTCCAAGATTTGAAAGCCTCACCTCTCTCTCCCTTAATGTGTCACGTGCAAGTCAAGTCCATAAACAGTGCATCACTTATTTGTGAAGAATTGAAAGGTCGCCATATTCTTTGGATCAATCCAACTTACACAAGAAATTGACTGTCCAGTAATCTGTTACACTCCTAGTATCTCTGTTTTTTTTTTCAACTCGACCATACCTCATCCTCACCCATAGTTTACTTCTCTTCTCATTCATAATATTTCCTTACATAGCAACTAGGCAGACAAAGACCTAATTATTATGATAAGTTCAGAAAACAATCTTATACAAAGGTAGCTTAAGAAAAACAGATAGTTAACTCTTCTCTTCACAAAAGATAACTCTAGAATACAGAGTGGCAACCGTATAGGCAAGCCACAAGAGCATAAGGGAAAGAAGAGTGATATCAATGACCAACAAAGGTAAACTCACACCAGCAAGATTCCTACACAAATCAAAACAATAGAATAAGAAAGTAAAAATTTCTGAATAGATAACTCACAACACTATTGGCGTCCCTCCCTCCACAAAGCAGAAGAAGCCCATCAGAACGTGCACTAGCAGTTGCATACCTAGTCAAAAGTAACAGACAAAACAGCAACTCAACCCCAAATTATAATAAAAATTCAAGCACAAAATAACAGTTAAATAAATACAAGGAAAGTTTCAGAGTTATTTGATAATGTTGATCAAGGTTCTTAAAGTACACTTTTGAGCTCAACAATAACACAACAATAGTGAGCCTGTTTCATTCCACAAACAGAATATTAATGCTATCCAATCAGCAAAAAGTGTAATGATTGATTAAGCAAATTAAAAAGGAAAAAGCTCCTCTAAAGCGAGTGCGACTCCTTAGTGGACAAATAAGGATGTGTTCACCCTTACATCATTTAGTGGGTTAAAACTTGAGATTACAATGTAATTTATTAAATCAAAGGTGGATACACCTTTCTTTGCTCATTTTAAATACAAACTCGCTTTAGAAGAACCTTTTCATTACAAGATAATGTAGCATTTAACATTTCACTCTTCTTCCAAAATATTCCACAACCTCATTATCATCCACACATAAAAGCAACCACAATAAAAGGCAAACCTATTCTAATATCAATCAGTTCCCAAGCTGAAGAAAGAATAAAGCAGTGATCAACAAATATACCAGCCCAAATATACAACACAATAGTAAACCACTGGATAACATGCTTGACATGGCAGAAATATTGAAAATTACAAAAAATTCAGTTTTCACTGATTTTGTAGGGGAGGGGAAAGAGGGGGAGAGAAAGAGAGAGAGATATCAAAAGCACATTAGGAACAAACCCAAGGCAAGGCAACCTGGTGCATGAAATAGTTTAAAACTGGGGCAACTCCCTTGTTCACATCCAAATATGAATTCAAAAGAAACAAAGTTAAAAATAAAGTTTACCCCAGAGCATATCAATCTAACGAACTAACAAAACAACACCAATTAACAATTATAACAATCTAACAAACCAACATGTCTACAAAAATTCAAAAAGTGGAAACAAAGGATTTAAATCTATTCAACTCAATTATAACCACTAAATGTTATCCATCAGAACCTAGCTCAAGACATCAAAGGCTACAGAACAAGAAAAAGCTGCCCTTAGAACCTAGTCCACGACATCAAAGGACAAAGGCTACAGAACAGGAAAGGAATATAGTGAAGTCAAGATATTAGTCAAGAAAGTTAAATTTCATTGACACAGTACATGCATGGAGGTGGACCCTCTCCTTCTGGCTCCAACTTGCGCCATTCATAAGGCTTGGCAGCTGTGTCTAAGGCCCATACATCAGCCAAAGGTCTCTTTCCTGGAAAGCAGGGATAAAACAAGTTAACATCCAATAAATTAACAAATAACAACCACAGAAAACATCAAAGTGAACAATGTAAAAGAAAGCATTTGGGTACTTACCATCATTGCCTCCAATTGCCATGAGATACCTCTGCCCCACCAAAGCCATAACATGTCCATAGCGTGGCCCTGGTCCAGGGCCTGGAACACCAACTCTACATGACATTCAGAACTGACTGCATCAGATAAATGTCATTGAGGAGGAAAATAAAACATAGGTTACTGTTCTAACCTATGCCACCGAGGTCGTTGCTGAGTGAGATCAAGAACATGAAGGTCCTCTGCAGACAAACCAGCAGGCCCAATGCCACCCTGTTTTATGGTGCAAATACTCCACTTTAGAATTAATGTACTCATTTAAAGGAAATAAATTAACCAATACCTGGATAACTAATGAGATAACCTCTCCACACTACCTGAATAACTACCATTGTTCCCACAGCAGTTGCAACATGTGCAGCCCTTGGAGTTGGAGGCTCACCAATGGGAGTTATCCTGCATTAAATTTTCCTTATAAGCACTGAAGCAAAGTACATAAGGCTATAAGAGCAATACTTAAACCTTAATGATGGCTGGAAAGAAGAACATAGTTCTGAGCTTACCTAGACCACTTATTAGTTATGACATCATAACAGTGGACATCAGCAGTGGCACCAGCCAAACCTGCAGAGCAAATGAAATATACCAATAATGACAAATTTCAACCATAAATACTTACAAAACTAATAAATAAATGCTTATACAAAGTGGGGAAAATATACAAAATCTGGACAAATCATTGTTCATCTTGCAGTATCCCCCACACAATGAGCAGATGATGTAAATTCTCGTTAAATTAAGAATGATTGCACCTAATAGAGTTTTCACTTCAACATTTGGTTTCAGACATTGGCATGCACCAGAAATAATGAACATAAACAGCATCCTACTTGGATAGTTTGAACTTCAACAATTAATAACTGTATAAGGAGCTTCAAATGACATACAAAAGTAGAACACTTAAATTATGATATAAAACAAGGCATGTCCACTATGTGGAAATGGGAACTACACATTGCTTGCCTGAAATAATAGTACTTGGACCTAAATGAGAAACCAAACATTCTGAATATGCATTTTTTATGTTTCTTCTTTGATCAGTATCAATATATCAAATAACTGAGACATTTTCAAAAAGAAAAATAATTTAACCACAAACAGAAACAACCAACCATCAACCACATGAAACCAAACCATATCCCATAATTTAGGTTATTTTACTATTAATGCTACTTCATGCTGCAATTTATGAGAACCCAGATATTCATGTTTCAGAAAATAAAGAAGCCAAATATGCAAAAGACCACCTTTTGACAAATATGACAGGTTCCTTTTTTTATCCTGAGTTTTTATGGACTAAATGGAATGTTTTATCGATACATTCCCTTAAACCATGTTAGAATGTGACAAAAAGCATTATCTATCCTATTCAAAAGAATCCTAACTATATAATTGCCTATAGGTATACAGATACAGAGGAGGAAAAGATACAACCATGTGTAATTTAATTTCTATACGAAGTATCAGAACCATATACCAAAAATATCAGTCAATACAATTTTTAAATACATAAAAATAAAAATTAAAAATGAAAGATACTCCTTGGATACCTATCTAGGATATCAGAATTGGATATGTGTATTACACCTCTAACTTTACCAATTTTGAAATATCTGAGCTTCTAATAGCTTCAGACAATCACAACCCATATATGGGTAAAGATATAAATGGCAATGAACTTGAATTCTGGCAAACAAACGAGAATAGAGGGACTGGTGAACTAAACATAATGGAACAGAATGGATCAGAATGAGGAGGGAATGAAAATAACAAAGAACCACTGAATTCACTATCAAATACAAAATATTGAAGAAAGCACAGACAGACAACAGAATGAAATGTTCCCTAGTACTGTTTTTTCGTGCCCCCAAAAGAAGTGGCAGAAAGCCATGCAAATGGAAACGTTTTAAAATGAACTTCTATAAACTTCCAATTTTACCCACAAAGCATAAAATAGGAAACAAAGTAATAAAACAGCGAGATTGGTAACAAAAATCAATAGATTCTCAACTCATTTTAACGCATTGTGTACCCAGGATGACGTATCCAAAACAAGGTTTAATAGAACCACAGTTTCCATAACCAGAAGCATTCAGTCCACAAAGACCAAAAAAATCATCCTTCTACCATCGCATTAGCATTTCTATAACCAGGAACAACGACGCCATTGGAGCCTTTGTATTTAAACATTTAAAATAACTGGACACAGCATACAAAGCGCGTGGCATAAATTTCCAGATTCTAATCAAACTTAAAAAACCAATATCCAGAAATACTCAGCAGCAGCATCTTCGTTATGTTATTGTTTTCAGAAGAAGAAAACGAAAGGAAGTAAAATACGTACGTATGCCAGCATTTCCAGCGGACGAAGGAGTCCCTGAGGCCGCGGAATTCCCTTCAAGAGCAGTGGCACCGCCGAACAAAATCAACCTCGGACCAATGTACCCTGGCGTCCCCTCCTCTCCGACCGCCGCCACCGCCGTCAACGTGTGGCCGCACCGCGGCCCTGGCCCGTCCTCCTTCTTCTCCAAAATCGCATTCACCACTGAATAAGTCGGCGCGAGCCTCGGACCAACCACCGGACTGTGCTGCACCTGAGCCGCCGTCGCCGGCGGCGGCTGTTGCTGTTGTTGCGCCGGCAACTGAGCCGGAGATCCGCCTCCGGACGGCGGCGACGACGGCGACTCCCCTAGCTGGTCTCTCTCGGCATGGTTCTGCGCTGCCGGATCGTGATCGGCCTCCGGCACCATCGAGGAATCAACGTCCATTCCTTAACCCTAAGATTCGAGCAATTCCCCAAAGATCGGAGCTAGAATTCCCGCGAAATCGCATCCCGAACCAACATTTCGATTCGGTTCAAAAAATTGCGATTGAAAACCCTAACTCAGATCCTCCGCTCCTCAATTCAAATACAAACGAAAACAACGCAAATTTCCCGAAAAGAGAGGGAAATTCGATTAGGTTATTTTTCCCCTTCTCTCTCTCTCTCTTTCTCTCTCTCTCTCTGTCTTCGCTCTCTCTCAGAGAAAATCAAAGAAATGAAATGAAACGAAAGGAGCGGTGAACGAAACGGGACGGAGGAGACAATCGCAACCCAAAGCGAAAAAATAAAATTAATAAAAAATTTGAAAAAATAAATAAAAAGAAACAATTTCTTTCTCTGAGACAAAGGGGTGCTGTCTTTCTCTCTCTGCTTTTTTTTTCTTGCTTTCTAATATTTTTTGGAAAAAAAAAGTAATTATATATTATTTTGAAGGGTATGTATTTTTTTATATTCAATTATTCGAAATTGGAGGTAGGGAAATTGATGACCGGAAAGTGCCGGTAGGGTGCGTGTACGGAAGAAATTGGAGGCGGCGACAGAGCGGAGAACAGAGAAGGGTAACCGGGGATTGGTTTAACTGTTAACGGTGTTCGCCGGTTCCCAGTACAAAAGAGGGGTTAACACTTAACAATACAACTCATAGTTAAGATCGTTTTGTTTTTTTTTCAATAATACGTTACACCACGCGCTCTATTTTTTAAACTTTCTTAATTATAAACTTATAATGGAAAATATATATATATATATATATATATATATATATATTTATTTATTTATTTGTTATATATGATAGTGAGAAAATGCAATAACAAATTGACGGGAAAAAGGAATATTTTCTGTATACTTTTTTATTTTATTATTCTTTGACTAATTCTTTAAAGTTTAAAGTAACATCATATTTCCAAAAAAAAAAAAGTAACATCAATGCATTTAATGTATTTTAAAATGGTTTTAATTTCCCTAATGATATTAAAAAATTAGTTTTAAAAGAAAATACGTTGACTAATACACTTAAACTGAAAGTTAAAAAGGAAAATATTAATCAACGTTTGACTGTAAAATATATTTAATAATCTTCATTATTGTTTGACTAATCCTTTATGAAAAATTTAATGTAGCCTAGATACATTTATTGCATTTTGAAAATGTTTTTATTATTCTCAGTGATATTAATAAACAATTTACTTTCAAAAATAAAATAAGTTGACAAAGTGTATTCTTAATAAGCTAATTATAAAGAAAAATATTTCTGTCCCACAATGATGACATGTTTAATATATAAAAAAATGTTTAAAAAAATTATGTTATTTTTTTATATGTAATATTCATTAAAAAAAATTAATTTACCATATAAAATACTCAACCACCATAATTAATAGTAATATAGTTATTAATAGAGTGAACTATTTTAGTAAATCTTATCCAAAAAGTGAAGTATTTATTATGTTTTTTAATTTATGTAAAAACTCTAAAATTTAGTTATTTTAGGATAGGACTATAATAATAAATGTTTGAACATAAAATATAGAGGGACTAATATATGAATAAAAATAACTAATTTTTCATATATTAAGAAAGATAATTAAATTCATTTAATTTTTAAATTTTCATATAAAATATATACTATATTTATTAAAATATCTTTAATCATATTTATCATAAATAGGACTTTTATTTATTATTTTAGGGGTATTTTTTTAATTAAAAATATTAAATAAAGTTGACTTAATTAAAATTTAAGAGTAAAATAACAAATTTTTTTCTTCTTATATATAGGTTGGAAAGTATTTAATAACCCTTATTATTGTTTGACTAATCTTGTATGAATAAATTAATGTAGCATAAATTCATTTATTGCATTTTTTGAAAATGGTTTTAATTTAGCTAGTGATATTAATGAACAATTATTTAAAAGAAAATAAGTGACTAATTATATATTTAAAAAAGAGAAATAATAATAATAATAATAATAAACGTTTGATTGGAAAATGAAGTAGTGTAATTTTTATGAATAAAAAATGTATATTTAATATATATTTTAATTAATAAAAAATTTATTTTATAATAAAATTTGTATGAGAAAAAAGTATTTATTTTCAAAACAGTCAAAGTTAATCATCTTCTTTAACTATAATACATATTCAACTAAAACAACAAACACCATGTCCAACAATTTGTAGAAAAAAAAATCAAAATTAACATTAAGTAGCATTTCGAGTAATAAACCGCAAAGGTATTAAATCTAAATAGTCATTAATTAACTATTTTTGAAAAAGAAAATCAATATTTTGTTTAAGTTGGCATCTATTAATTGTAATATTTTATTTTTATACAGCAACATATTAGCGTTGACTTATGTTTTAATGACAAGCAAACATTAAAGTAAAAGTCTATCATTCAGATGGCCCCGCAAAAAAAAAATAATAATAATAATAATCTCATATTATTTGTTAGAAAATGATGAAGAATATTGTGACAGTAATTTGGGGTCTAAGAAAATCAAAATCACTAATGATTTGAGAACTCTACATGTAAATAAGTCAAAGTGAAAAGGAAGGGAAATGGTTGAGTGCAAGTTTTGTTTGTACTAAAATAAAAGTTCAATGAAATAATTTTATTTATTAAACTAATTAGAATTTATTTAAATATAACAGGTCAGCCTATTTAATTATAAAGTATACTAAAATTAATATACATAAAATTTGTAATATATTTATCTCATACAAAATAAAGAAATAAAAATTAACAATGGCATCACCATCTCTCTTTTAGTAAACAATGTTGGTAGTGATTCCTTTCATGTGAGAGTGGGACTATGGCAAAATGGAATATTTAGAAGCTTTAATGAGACGAAGGGCATTTTGTCGAGTGAAAAGCTATTTTGTTCCAAAAGGCATTAATGGTGTTGAATGACAAGTTTAGGTGAGTTCTCAAAACATGACAGGTGCACATTCTTTCTCCTTATGGAAAGTCCCTTTATTAAGTACTATTTCATATTTTCATGTCTCACTTCCTATGTCATGCCAATTATTCAAACCTCAAGATAGGATATCCCTGCATTTTGTCCATCTCCATGCCCTTCTACACAACCTCCATTTGTCAAACAATGAGAACTCTATACTATAATTAAATTAATAATAAATAAATAAATATAACAAAACAAAACAACTATTTGTTATTAAATATCAATTACCCAAATGAAAACTTAAATAGAAATTATTATAAATAAGTAATAAATTTGAATTTAGTTATTGGCATGAAATTTTGATGTTGAGAAATGAGGAGTGTATGAGAATGGGAGTAAGTGAAGTACTAGAGCGTGCTTTGTTGGTACGACATGTTATTTAATAATTTGAAGTTTGAAGTGTGGTGGGGAATTTATGTTTTAATTTATTATTTCATTTTGATTGTTTTCATGTGAGGTGGAATCTCATAGACAAGGCCACATGGATCAAACTTCCTGCCAGATTGGTATTCTATCATCTTTCTATTGTTTTAATCACCACTTGTTTTTTTTAATGTACATATTTGCGTTTATTTCATTTATTTATAATCACGTAGAAAGAAAAGAAGAAGAAAAAGGTCAATTTACATTCTTTCTTTTTCTTTTTCTTTTATACAATCTACGTTCTATTGGCAGCGCAAACCATAAACATGTAATCAAAAGCAACTCGTCAAATAGTAACTTATTATACACAATATAGGATTTGACATGTATACTGTCTTTTGAAAGTAATTTTGTTTGAGGCATGATAAAAAAAAAATTGTGATTAAACTTTAGTTCTCATCACATTATGAGAAATTAACATCTTTCGTTAGATCTAAGCTCCATTGGTTAGATAATTAAAATTTAATCCTTTTATTTTATCCCTTATGGACACCAGTCATTAAAATTCTTACACTTCTCTAACATATATAAAAAAACAGTTAATACTGAAGACAAAATATTTAAGTAAATAATGAATAAACATTGTTTTTATTCTCTTTACTTTGAAAAGTTATAAGCCAAATAATTTATATTTTATAAAATATTAAATTGATTTAAAATAATATAAAACTTTAAAGAAAAAATTGTCATTTCATTTATTAGGCAACATATCAAGTGAAATGACTGACATTTCATTTTTTTTAATAGCAAAGAAATTTTTATTAATAAAGTCAAGCTGTGACAAAAGTATTTATACATTTTGCATCGTAAATAATAGAATTAGCAAAGAAGATGCATTGTCATTTTAATTAATACTGTACTAATTTTACTTGAATCATTTTTTTCATATGTACTTACGAAAAGAAAATGTAAAATAAATTGATTTTTCACAGCAAGTTAAAATCAATTTATGTACTTAATTTTTTTAAGAAATTAAAAATAACGAAATTAAGTGCAGAAGCTAATTTTAATTTTAAAAATAAATAAATTATTTTCTATTAAGTATTTAAGAAAAAAAACATCCAAACCTATTTTAAATTTAAAAAAAAGCACAAAAAATAATAAATTTCCAAACAGAAAAAACAATGACAGATGTCGAATCCAATGAAAGGAACTAATACCCCTTCCCCAAAGTCTCACCTATAATAGAGACATTTAAGTCATAAACTAAATTACCTCCTTTAAAAAAATTGGTATAAAACAAAATAAATAAATAAATTGCTTTGTATACTTTATCTTGCATTCAATTGTTCTGTATACCACGAAACCTTCTAAATCGTCTCAATGATTGACAGCAATGCATTTAACATTTTAAACAATTATATAACTTTCAAATGACGCTGTTGTCCGTTTCGCGTTTCTTTATCTCTCTTTTATTTTACTTTCAGTTGCAATCTCAAGTATCAACAATTTCATATATGAAATATGACGACGTTTTCCTCTCTACCAACCGTCAAAGACTAGCCTCAAATTCTCCAGTCAATATCTACAATTAAGAAATTTCAATCAATCGTTTTGCTTTGCTTCTCTCTCATTTATGGGGCAAAATTCAGCCTAGCCTCGTCTTACACAAAAATAGAGCAAGAAAAACACACAAATGCTCTCAACTCTGACCAATTTTAGTACCTAATTTTCCAGTCCTATGACATCAATTTCAACTCATTAATAAGAACCATAACTCAACGTCGTGAATACACAATAATCTTTTTCCCAAACATTGCTACCCTGTTGCGGGGAGAGCTTCTGTTGAACTGGTCGCGTCATCTATTTCCGCAATGCCTCACAAACAAGCATCATTTATAGATAACCTCAGATTAACAATGTACATGTGGGTTTAACACACAAGCTGTTGTACAAGTGACCTTACCCAACCTTCAAAGGACCTGTATTAGCTGGTTTCTGAAAGAACCTTGCAACCGGCATCCCATCAGCATCTTCTTTTCCTGCTCTCCAAGAACGATCTTTTTTCCTCTGGGGCTTTTTATGGTGCTTATGAGATGCCTTAGACTTCTTAACAGCAATATTTTTTGGAGCAAGTCCATTAGCCATGTCAAATGAATTGAGGTCATCCAATACATGTTCAAGATTTGGTGCAAGTTCACTCTCAACATCTGAAGAATCTTCAATATCAGATGAATCTGATGCATCCAAGTCAACTGAGTCATGTCCAGTGGGATCTACCAAATCTTGTTCCTCGTCTGATGCTCCAGGAGGCATTTCATAGTGCGGCAGCTTCCCATCAATGTAATCTTTCAATATCTGACGGGAAGCTCTTGTTTCATCAGGGAGTCCACTAGAGGCAACATACCCACGAGAAGCACAATATGCTCTCAAGAGCTCAGATGCCAGAGGGGGGCGGGATTGGGACTCATATGGCTTAGGTTTAGGAAGCCTTATCTTATAAATCTCCTCGATGACATGTCTCGGCACTCTATCAGCAACAACTTGGACAGATTCCCTGTGTTCAGTCATCCTATCAATAGGCAACACCCCACAAGCAATCATCTCATACCTTGAGCTTGAGAAGGATGGAAACACTAATCCGGGACAATCACAAAGGGTGAGCTTATCAGAGATAATTAATGTCTGAAAGTGCTTTGTTTTCCCCGGAGTAGAGGTGACACCAGTCCGTTTTTGACCAACCAGAGCATTAATGGTTGAACTTTTCCCCACATTAGGGTATCCAACAAATCCCACAATTACGTGATTAGATGACGAACTACCAGCAGTATTTTCAACGGCAGATTTAATGTTAGATGATCCTGCATCAGAGGAGCCTGAATTTCTCCTTCTGTCAACTATCTCTTCTGCCTCTGATTGCAAGCGGGACAAAAGCTCATCTCTTCCATATATCTTTGTGTCTGGGTTATTAGTTCTCCCCATGTTATCATCCACCCATGATGAACCAAGCTTTCTGCCTTCCAGAGCTGCAGTAGCAGCTTTAGCCGACCAGAAGATAAAGAGAATATCATTGGCACGAAAATATTCTGCCCATTTCTCTCTGCAGGGAAATATAAGACAGGACAAAATAATAAGCCATGATACAATAAAGGGCAATATTTGGTACAATATAAACCTCTTATGGGAATCAGACAACCAAACCTGATAGAAGCAGGTAAAAGATCGGCCTTGTTAACCAAAAGCAATGTGCGTTTGTGCTCATCAACCTCTCGTGCATAAGCCTGTCCCAAAGTAAAATTGGAGCAAAACTGATCATGATTGGCATACACAATAGTGATTCTTAAAAAGAAATGAATGAAATATATACGAAAGATCCAAAGTACGCTACACAGATTAAAGATGTACAATGTCTGGTTAAATCTATCTCACTATTGCTTGTTACACTTTTTACAGAGATTAAAGTAAGTTACGATGTTTTAAAAAATAGAAGTAGGGACTCTGAAAGGATGCTGCGACTGTTCTGAACTTCATTGCATTAAAGCTGCCCTGAAAGAATATCCAGTCCAAATCTTCCACTATTTAAAATCCTTATCAATCAGTTGTTAGCTTTGCCACAAACCTAACCATCTCTAGAGTTGTCAAGTTAGTATTTTGTTATGGAAGAAAGAAAGTCATCTCACCTCAAGGTCTGGACATCGATAGAACAGTGGATCTCGCGAATCAACAACCATAACAAGCTGGTAAAAAAGCATGAGAAGATCATCAACTTTAAGATTTCATGCACTTAAGAAAAGAACACAGCAAATATTAGATAAAAATAAAAAATAAAAAACTACCTTGCGGATATTTCTATATGATTGCATACAAAACCATTACTGATAAAAAAAATTATTAATAATCCAGATTTTTACGTAACATACAAGCCTTTTAAATTACAGAAAATATTGACAGGGTGAAAAGAATGAATGTACATCTGGGGAGGAGTAAAGAGTACGCAACTATCCATGATCCCAAGTTCTCTACTAGAGCATCTCAAAGTTGAAAAATGAGATTGGTTTTAGGATTAGGATCACTTTTCAGTTTGCAGCTAATGATGCAGGTCCAACTTGTTTGGCCTTTTTCCTTTATTTTTGTTTGAATAACAAGCCAAATTAAAAAAGGGCAGCTAATAATCTGATCAATGTGATCAATACAGTGAAACAGGAAACAATAACAAAAAACAGCACAGTATTGTGGAATTGTTTCTGTATCTATCAACATACTAGTAACAACCATCTAAAATGGAAAAGGCGATTCCATTATATTTAAACATTACGAAATACTGCATTTTTTTCCGGTAAATGACTCTAGGGAAGTGAGCCTGAACTCACAGTAAGAAAAACAAGACCGTGAAAGAATAGAAGCATATTTGCTTCAACAACATGAAAGACAAATCTACAATCTACCCTGAGAAATATGGCATGGGTAAGCAGATGCAGTTGCTTGGCAATCATATTCATCAAAAGGAGAACCACGCCCATATCTTCACTGATTTCAGTCCCAATAACTGATATAAGAGAATTGTAGTAACTTAAAAAGACAACAACCTATTTTTTTAAAATCAAAACCTTTATCAACCCATATAACTTCAAAGATGAAACCAACTTACCAGATCACTTCGCTCAACAACCCGCCAGAGCTGTCTCCAAATGTCAAGATTCTTCTCAAACGGAGTAAGTACAAGCTTCTTATTCTCCTCAAGCCTGAAACACCACCACACCAACAACATAAACTAAAACCATCCACAAATCCTTTACTCGAACAAACACCTCAATTCATGTCAGACATATTACACACGACAAAAATCACATAGGCAATCGTCAAGCTAGTCCCTAAACGCGCGTTCATTGAAGAACCTAAACCCTAACAATCAGATTGCAGAGAACTAACCTCGCTAAGTTGCGACGCCAAACCAGAAAAGCCTGCGTTTCGCTTTCATGAAGCTCGTCGGCGGACATGTGGGGGGTCCACGGCGGGCGGCGGGGGACTCGGAGGCTGGCGGCGTGGAGCGCCTCCTCTCGCTTCTGCTGCTTCCTCGTTTCTTCCGGCGTCGCTTCGATGGGAACGGAGGCAGAGTCCCTACAACGAGAGAACGAAAAACGATAAAGGATAAACGTTGAGGAGCATTGGCGGAAGGAAGAGGAGAAAGACTGACAGGCTTATGAGGGTGGTGGAGGCGGCGGGGAGGGGCTCGTTGGATTGCTCGATGATGGCGTCGATGTCGGAGACTTCGGTGTAGGATTCGAGAACCTTCTTGCGGTAGAAGCGGGACTTTTCCTTGCTCTGTTGGATCATGTGGTTGTGCTGCCTCACCAGGGCACGGCCTAGCCCTGTTTTCTGGCTCTCGTTCTGCTTCTTTCCCATTGCCTCTACACAGTGTTGCTTCTGTTTCTGTCTGCTATGCTACCATTGTTGATTTCGGTTTTAGGGTTTCGGATTCGTATTTTTTGCTGCTGTAACACTAACGAAGAGCTGTCAACGTGTCAACGTGGCGGGTCCGGATTATTTGGCCAGTAGAACCAACATATCGGTGTGTTTGATAAGGAGGATATAAAATTTAAATTTAAATTTAAAATTAAAAAAATGAAATTTTATATTTAAAAGATAACTAGTATTATTTTTTTTGTCAATAATGACATCCTAAATATTTATTATATATAACTAAAATTTATAGTAAAATATATATATATATATACAAATAAATAAATATTTTTAACATATAAATTATATTTTAAATTTATGATAAATAATTTATATTGTATCATAATATTTTTATTCATAATTTATTTTAAAAATATAAAAATTTAATTCATAAATAACTATAATAAATAAAAACTAAATTGGCTTGGAGGCTCATCAATGATCTTGATTTTCTTGTAAGTAGGTTATTGAAAGCTAAGTACTTTCCTAACATGGATTTTTTTTAAGTCAATATATATAGGACATGAGCCTAGTAATGTTTGTAGAAACATTTAGAATTCAAGGATACTTGTCAAAGAAGAGTGGAGATGGAAGGTTGGTGGTGGTGATAACATTTCAATTTGAAACGTTCGTTGGCTCGATAGGAACTGTTTTTTATGATCCAGAGCTTCGTAGAGGCTTTAGGATATAAAGGTAAGTGATCTTATTGACATGGTGTTGGTTTGCTAGAAAACGAAAATAATAAACAAGTTAGAAGGTTGTTAATTGTTTAGGTAGTAAGTTGAGAAATTCAATCGGGACCATAATTTATAGTTATAGAGTAGTGATTAATGGGTTTAAAAATTATAAAGTCAATTTTGTTCACAAGCGAGCAAATTCAATTGTTCACAATTTAGTTAAGGCTACTGAATTTCAAGTTGATTTAAAGGATTTTAATCATATTCCTCCTTGTATTATTTATAATGGTGTGAATGATAGTAGTTGAATTTGTTAGTTTTGAAAATAAAAAATAAAATTTGAATTAGATAACAAATTAAAAAACTCTCTTGTTAAAAAAAATTAAAAAAATATTTTTGTACAAGATAGAGATTTGTGTTTAATATATAGAAAGATTATTTTTTCATTATTTTAACTTCACTTTCTCTTTGGTTAATATATAAGGAATTGGGTACAAATGGTTTATGTGTTAGACCCTAGGTCGAATTGTTTTGGCAATATCTAAGTTTGGTCCTTCCCAAAAACAATTTTTAGTCAGGTTTTACTTACCACTTGATAAAACTAGATTAATTTATATTACAATTGTGTGATTTTAGTCTTTAAGTTTTAATTAATACTTGAGAGACTAAAATTGTGTAATTAATATTTAAGGGACTAAAATCGCATGTTTATTATATAACAAAAATGTATAATAAATTATATATACAAATAAATATTATGCTTAAATATATAAATTATATTTAGAATTTACATAAATAAATATTTTTAAATAAGGATGACAAAACGGATTAACCCACCCATTAAAAGCTCATCATACCATTAATCCGTAAAAAATGAATCAAGTTAAATTAGTTCGTTAAGTATAAATGAACTAAATACTCTGATCCATCCCGTCTAAGAATGAGGTTGGAGACCAAGAGGATAGACCACCAAAAAATATAAAAAATAAATAAAATAAGACAAAATACATATTTATTTTGAATATCTCCCAACATATTTTTTATGAATAAACTTCAACAAATATTAGAGAGATTATTTTTTCTCGACATAATTAAAGAGATTATTGGAATGTTAAAAGAATATCATTAACATTTCTCTTTAATTTCTTATAGGACAATATTCAACTAACTCATCTAATTATAAAAATTAAGAATTTATTAGGAATACATTGATAGTCTACAAGTATGTATTATTTATATAAAAAAAATTAATGTATTAATTGAATTGAATTATTATTGTTATATTCTTTTTTTTTTTCTTCTACTTTTCTCAGCTGTAATTTTTTTTCAAATTTAGTATTTTCCTGTCAATATTATTAATGTTGGCAATTGTTAAGGGACCTATAATTCTAACAAAACAAATTATTTGAAAGATGCTTTATTTATTTAATTTATAAAAAAAAATCAAGACTAAAATAAATCTAGTAATAAAAGTCTTGAGGTAGCATGTACAAAATTTTAAATTTGAATGTTCATCATTGTAATTTTTATAGATAAAAGTAAAATAAAATATGTGTGCAAATTAAAATTTTAGTGAGTAACTAATTAAATTAATTAGACTAATTAGTAATTAGTTATTTAGGTTGAGTTTAGATTGCATTTTTCATTTTCTTCTCCAGGAATTTTTTTCACGAAGCTCAACCATTGCAGGACCTATATGTCCTTTGTTTTTCAATTATGTCGCTACCTTTATCGTCCTCGCAAGCCACACACATTCAATACCTAATTTCAGACATGGTGGTAAACTGTTTTGTCAAGCTAATGAAAAACAAATAAAGGCATTTGCAGCCTACTTAAATGTACACAATACACGTTCTTAACATACAAAAATTGGTAAGCAAAAAATGTGCAAAGTTGCAAGTAATTGAGAAGGCAAAGAACAATAGTCACAAAAGTTACAATACCATCCCAAACAAACAAAATAATATAGAGGAAGATATTTTCTGTTGTTAAAAGAATTTGTTATACTGGCTGGTGAGAGAGTCCCTGAGATTGGAGTACAAGCCATAAAGAGAGTACTGCCTCATGTTTTCCACTTCATACCATGAATTAAGCACTGAGAGATGCTTGTCTGTGCCGGAAAATGCCAGCTGAATTCCAAGACTACAATCCACTGAACCTCCTCTGCCTTTGCAAGATGATGTTCTGATTGCACAGTCTTGTTTGTTGAGGCAAACAAAGTTGGATTTTCCCTTGCATGAAGAACAACCGTCTCTCTTCCAGTACAAGTTATGTAGCCTACCCTTTTGAAACTCTAGCACCTAATCAAATGGAATGTCCAACCCTTTCAATATCAAACCGAAAACTTAACTCATCAAGTCCAAGATTTAGAATTTGTTTAGATAAACTTCTACAGTTTAGGGGAGAAAAATAGAAAGAAAAATGAAAATGAGCTTCTCCGAAAGTTAAATTTAACTTATGCATAAGTTAAAAAAAAAAAAAAAAATTGGAGAAACTAATAGAAGAAAGTTTCTACAAATTAGTATATTCAAAGACTAATTTTAGCTTATAGTGAAGCTCATTTCATTTCTGTATTCTTATTTTCTCTCTTAAAGGTGTTTTTAGAGAAGTTTATCCAAAAAGACCCTTATAACTCTTACCAGTGTAAAACTTGTCACGGTGTATGTGCTGTTTGCAACAAATGCTAGGGGAGAACGTGCTGCGTATTTCCTTCCCGCAAATGCCACCATGTATCCACCATAAGAATCCTATTTATCATGATGAAAATGAAAATAGAAAATTAGTTATGATGATGACACTATTCATAGGCAACTTCTGTTTTAGCTTCTTGTGGTTCTCATTTTTGCTTTCAGGGGAATTAAAGTTTCTCCATCTCTAATTCATGTGCATAAGAAAGGAAAAAGAAAAAAACTTGCTCTAATTGACAAGTAGTTATGCGTACATGTTGTCTTTCTTTTCCAAAGCAGCACAATGCAAGTTTTTATAACATAGGGAATCAGTTGATTTAAAGGATTTCAATGTAAGTCACCATGACCTGAGATTCTCATTTCCATCCTATTAAAGCAGAAGTGTTAAAAAGCACCATGGCTTCTTAGAATTTGTGAGGGATAAAACTAAGCCATAATCTTTTGAAACAAGAAAAGCATTGTTAGTTTGGTTCGTGGTTACAAACAAATATTTTGAGCATAGCCTCCTCCAATACACAAAGTCAAGCAGGGAATCTGCATAATGAACTTCAGAACTTATGATTGGAATGTTTTAAGGACAACAAAAGCCATTTTATTACTAGCTGTAGCATGCATTATAGGTCTTTCAAGTTTTAAATTCAAATATAAATCGCATGTGCTCCTTCCAAAAATAGCAGCCTCCTATACCCTTCAGATTATGCTGCTTAATTATTTGAATTTGTGGCTATTGTTTTTATGGATTTTCGCATGTGAACAAGCCTAAAAATTGATCACATAAAACAAAGATTGGAGCAAAATCGCTATCCTAATAGTTGAGAGTTAGTACTAACTTCACTATCTTAACATCGACATTTATGTTCAATTTTGTGTATCAGATGTACATTTTGACCACGTGTTAAATATAATTGTCATGTCAAACAGAAATAGAAATATTGCCAAGTTTGCCTGAATTCTGCATATAACAACACTACAGTAATAACATTTTGATGTCACAGTGGTGTAATTATCAAATTAAATAGTGGCAAAGGAAGATAGAAGCAGCAATGCAGCATTCAAGAGTAAATTAATGTGTGCACTCAAGTTTAATGGTAATACCAATAAAGAGTGGTGTAACTTTAAGGTGGAGCTAACACAAGGATAAGGGGAGATAGCAACTGGACAACACAACAAGACAATACAATATGGTTGTAACTAGTTATTGAATATCATTGCATGCCTGTGAGGCACTGAGTCGAGGGGAAGATACTTAATTAGCAAACAAAGAACATAATATAATTAGTCTCCCATGTACCTTTGTCATGCTTGATGAACCTTTAAGAAGGTTGTAAAAGTAGAAACTTCGCTTCAGTGAGAAGTCAAAACTAGTGGTATATTGGAAAAACAAAGAAAGTGACATTTAGAACCATAATTTCCGCACTTAGCTAGATGTAAAGAGTATAGGATCATGTTTGGTCATTGTACCTAAATTCAGAGGGTTGCAGGACAGAGTGTGCATTATATAATACTAATGGGTATTATTATTATTATGTTTTTAGTGGATTGGTTTGGTGCAGTAGTCTCATAGCACATAACAGTTTCTACTCGATGTTTTATAATAATAAATAACCTCCTATTATCTCATATCTCATTTAAAACACTTTAAGACTGAATTTATGGCATTCAACAACCTCAAGAACTTTACTTTTATTCTTAAGCTCTCACTCTCATATTGCTTTACTTATTTCTACTTCTAATGACATTAATTTCCCAACGCAAATCCATATTATCCAGCAAAAATCAATTAGAAAAAAATAAAATGACACCGCAACAATATCCATTGAACCCTCACCATCATAATCACGGGAAAACATGAATTAGCCGTTTGAAAACAATCTGTGTCGTCATCTAGCGAAACTGCAAAACCCCGAGAAGTCACCATATCAAATATAGAAGCACCCCACTTACCAACCAATGAACAGAAGCCACAGTCCCATTAGGGTCTGTTTTAGTAGAAAATAATCTGAAGGAAAAATAAAATAAACTTTCACATGAGTTAAAAGAAGTTTATTCATAAGTTAATTTGTATAAACTACTTCTTAACAATTTCTCCAAAATCTTATTTTTAACTTATATCCTAAGGCCTAAGCTAATTTATTTTTTTCATGGACATGATTTATGTAGTATCCAAAAGCTGATAAGCAAGAATTATTCTGTAGTCGCAGACCCGAAGCTAGTTTTAACTTATGAAAGAATTTATTAGATTTTTCTTCGTATTTTTTCCTCCTAGATGCGCTTCCAGCAGAATTTCCCCAAAGAGACCCTTAGTCCCATATTCTACAATGACAACAAGATGCCAACATATAAATATCAGATATCCCTTGTTCATACAAGAGTATCATCCACCATTTTCAATGACATTATTTCTATCTCTCTATCACTTTCTGTACAAAATTTTTATACCAATATAACCTCTCCAAATACAATCAACAAGTCACCTCAAAGTTCCAAACTTGTCAACACAAGAGAGTCAAACATCAATGTCACAATGAGATTTCAGTCCCACAAGAGAGAAAAAAACAAGTGGATAACATGATTTTGAATGAGTCAGGGCCAAAGAAGAATACTCACGGGGAAGAAAGTGGAGGTGTTGATGGTGAGGAGAGAGATCTCATCAACCTTGGGGCGGAAGAGAGCAAGCTGTGAGTTGGAGGAAGCGAGAGAGAGACGGCGGTCACAGGGAGAGAGCTGGAGGGACTGGTTGTAGAAGAAAGAATCCCTGGAACTGAAAGCAATGCCAAAAGTGAAGCCATCAGATCTCTTAATCCTGGCATCAGCACAAGGCTGGTACACCCTGTTGGTGTTGGTATCAGCAGCAACTACAGACAGTGTCAGCATCAGCATCAACAACCACAATGCTCTTTTTAGTGCCATTGTTGTGTCTGGATTTGATGATGATGATGATGCCAGGCTTTGCTTGGTTCTTTCTTTCTCTCAACTTTGAATCTATTGGCTACTATCTAATGGGGTGTGGCTGGTTTTTATCCTGCAGTGTAAAGCTGCAAACTTTGCTGGTAATTAGCGTTGTGGGGTGGTGGCAAATTTGGTAACGAATAATAACGTTGCCTTTTCTTGAATACTTAAAAGATGTTGTACATTTTGGTAGGATTTTAGGAGAGGTGTTGAAGGGGAATAGGGTGGACCCATGGAAAGCAACTTGTACAACTAATCGGTGTCGGGTAGCTCTAAGACAGGTCGGAAATGATTTATAAAAGAAAAAGTTTTTATAATTTACTACTTTTTGCTATATAAATTCATAAATTTTATATTTTAATTTTTATAATTAAAGATATTTTATTTTAATATTTAGATATATTATTTTTGTTTTTTTTTAATGTCTCACATTTTTCTTTCTTACATTAGAGATAAGAAAGAAAAATGTTTATGTAATTATAAGAATTAGAAAAACAAATTAAAATAAAAATATTTTTAACTATTTAAAAAAATTCATCAAACTATAAAGATAATTAAAATATGAAGAAAATTTGACACACAAATGTTACATGATATTAGAGAGAAATAAAAGTGAAAATATATATATATATATATATATAGAGGAGATCCGTTTACTCTCGGAATAAGTCTACCTAGATTTACTCCATTCAATAACTCATGTTCTACATCAAATTTCAATGATTCAATAGTTGAATTTAAAGTTTTTAATGCATAAATCAAATCTGTAAATTTTTAAAAATTTTAAAAATTATTTGATACTTCATTTCATTAATTCAAATTGATAGATAATCATAAAATCATTTTATACATTGATTTGAATTTATGAAACAAAGTATCAAATTATTTTCAAATGTTTTAAAAATTTAGAAATTTGATCTATGTATTAGAAACTTTAAATTTAACGATTAAATTGTTAAAATTTGATGTAAAACATTATTTATTGAATGAAATAAATTTAGGTAGACTTATTCCCGGAGTAAAGGGATCTCTTTATATATATATATATATATATATATATAACTTAGGTTTGTTTACATGTTACTTTGAATTTGATGGGGCTAAATTTATTATTTAACATGTTAAAAAATTTATAATCTCAATTGAATTGAGTTGATTTGTGTAATTTTTTTATAAATAAATCAAATAATCCAGTCATAAATAATTGGTTTAAGTTAAATTAATCTATTTTTTTTTTTAAATCTTAAAATATGTTAGACTGATCCTATACATACAATTAACACTATAAACATAAATGACGTGATAGACAAATGTTATGTTAAATTTATAATATTATGTGAAATATATGAATTTTTAAGGTCTACCAAGGGAACCTAAAATAATATTAATTACTTAAAAATTTGAATTTTAATACTCAAAATATTTATGGAAATTTAATTTATATTATAATTTTTTTTAGTTGTAATTTGATCTCAATAAACATATAATATAAATAATTACCTCATTATTTAATGACTCGATTATCTTAATATGTGTAAATCAATTTATTTGAACCTGGGAATTGTTTGGTTGCAATATTGTTTAGAAGAAGAATCATTATTTATTTTTGTGACTTAACATTATTTAATTATAGTTATGTATTACTTAAATTATTGTTTCAAATTTTATAAAAAAATTAAAAACTTTAAAATAATTAAATAATCTTTATTTTCATATATTTTAAAAAAATATTCCATTATTTTTATCTATTCGGTAACAAAAGTATTTGTAATATTAATTTATATTTCTATATTATTAATTAAAACAATTCCTTTCTTTCATGTTTACATTTTGACTAGACCATTTTCTCTTTTCTATCATAACTAACCATCTTTTTTATATTAACTTCCCTTTTTTCTCTCTCTCTTTTTTTTTTTTAAAATAAAACATACAAAATCTAGACTAATTCACTCGTATAATTATTTTTACATCACTTTTAATTTTATTATTGACATTATTTTAGCATATGCAATTCATAAACTAATATTTATGATATATAACTAAAACTTAAAATAAATTATATATACAAATAAATATTATATTTAAGTATTTAAATCAGATTTAAAATTTATATAAATAAATATTTTTAAGCATGTAAATTATATTTTAAAGTTTTAATAAATAGTTTATAATATTATATTGTAGCAGACTTTTTTTTTTATTGATAATCATTTTTAAAATATTATTTTAATTTATATATAATTACGATAATAAAAATCAAATAAGACAAGAAGTTAAAGAATTTCTAAAACGGTATTTCGTTGAAGAAAAATTTCTAAAAGCAATATCGTAAAAGATAGTAATTCATATTTAATATATAAGAATTGATTTTATTATTCAATGTACAAAATATAGTTATATATGCTATTAATTTATACTTCTATATGTATACTAATATATAAAAGGAATACATTTTTTAATAACTATCGTGATTTCTATTTTTTTTTATTATACTCTTTTATTTAAAAATATTTTAAAAATATTTTTTAATCAAATTTAAGAACTTAAAATTAATAAATTAATTATAATACTAATTGGATTAATATACTTTTATTATTTTATTTTTATTTTTATTTTATTTTTAATAGAGGCACAAAGTGCCTCAACTCTACTAGTATTTAAAAATATATGAGTTAATCTATCATCTCTTTTTCTACTTTAATAAATCTATTTTACAAATCTCTCGCTAATTGAGTAATGACTCGTTATTTTTGATGTTTTATTTTTATTTTCAATTAGAGAGTGAGAAAATATCTCTTTTTTCTTTGATACAAATAAATAAAATAGAAATACAATATAGTGAGAAACTATTTATACTAAATATAATATGAAATGGATATCTTTCGTTGGTTTACATTTTTAAAACATTTTTATTTTTTATTATATATTAATCATCTGTCTACTCTATTAATAAATTATAACTACCAACTTATTTTATAATATTTTTTATATCCATTTTTTTATTAAGATTATTTTATTTTAATTATACATTATCACATTTTATTTGTATATTGTATGTTGTAATCTATTGTTTTTATTTTTATTCATAGAAACATAAATCATCTCTTTTATTGGAGTAATGAAGGATGTATTATTATTAATTAATGAAAGTATATTTAACATTTTTATTATATAAATTCATAAATATCTACATATATTTATAAATATTTGTTAAAATATTTTTTTTAAAAAGCTATAAAATAAACTAAAAACAAATACTTATATTAAAAGTATCTATTTAATATATATGTTTTGAAACAAAATAATTATAATATATATTTATAATAAAATTTAATTAAATAAAACTATTTTATATATAATTAAAAATATTTTTAATATTTTCCAAGTCCAATATTCACTGGTACATATATCTTGCGATCTGTTCCCATTCCCACCTATTTTTAAACAAATAACTATTCAATTATTTATTTAAATCTAAAAAGAGTTTTATTTACGGAAATTATCCTGTGTGGAATATAGTTTGTGATCTTGACGACATCCAGCATCCAACGCCTCCAAAAGTTCTAGACCCTTCTTGCGCGATCTGAACCGTCCGTTGAATCCTCTCTCAATCTCACCCCAAAAGATAAAAAAAAATAAAAATAAAAAATGAGAGCGTAATTATAAATAGCGAGCCCTGTAATGTTGTTTGGCTAGGGTGGGGTGTTTCTTCTTCTTCTTCTTGCGTTGCATCTTTCGGATCTAAGAGTCTTCACATTGCGTCGTTCTTCGCTTCCTGAAATTAGGGTTCATTAGGTTAAACATGTTCGGGAGGGCACCCAAGAAGAGCGATAACACGAGGTACTACGAAATCCTCGGCGTCAACAAGAACGCATCGCAGGATGATTTGAAGAAGGCTTACAAGAAAGCCGCCATTAAGAACCACCCTGACAAGGGCGGTGATCCCGAGAAGGTACCTTCCTAACTTCGTTTTTCGTTCGGCTGTGGTTTTGTTTATGGAATTAGCGGTTTTTTGATTACCTAGGGTTTTTTGAAATTCTGAGGTTAGGCAAGGCTTATGTTGTGTTTTGTGAGGTGTAGTTTAAGGAGCTGGCTCAAGCTTACGAGGTTCTGTGTGACCCTGAGAAGCGTGAGATATATGATCAGTATGGTGAGGATGCGCTTAAGGAAGGAATGGGTGGTGGTGGTGGTGGCCATGATCCGTTTGACATCTTTTCGTCCTTCTTTGGTGGTGGAAGCCCGTTTGGAGCAGGTTTGGTTATTTATATGATCAATGGTTGTTTGCTTTGATTGATCAATTTAATTATTTCTTTTGCTGAAGGAATTGTGTGGGTTTGTGAACAGGTGGTCCTAGTCGAGGTAGGAGGCAGAGACGTGGAGAAGATGTGGTTCACCCTCTCAAGGTCTCTTTGGAGGATCTTTACCTTGGAATTTCTAAGAAGCTCTCCCTTTCCAGAAATGTCATATGCTCCAAGTGCAGTGGGTGGGTGTATTTAGTGTTTGTTTGGTTCTGATTGGTTGTTGATTAGTAATTTCTAGTGAAAATTTGCTTCACTTGGGTTTATTAGAAGTAGAGTAAATAGTTTATGCCTGACAGTGTAAAGGGTTTTTATAATCAATAAAAGAATAATAATAATTATTATTATTTTAAAAGTCATTAACAATGATTTTTGACGTTGATAGGCTTTGCATTGACAGTGTATAGAAATTAACTGAAGTGTGATATTGATTAATTAAAAAATAGGCTTACTAATACTAGTTTTTGTTGTTTTTGGGCATGTTAGTGTATGATTTTTCATTTAAGTGGAAAATGTTGGGTTTTAAAGTATGATACTGATTAATTGGATCACAGCTTAGATTGTTTTTGTTGTTGTTGTAATTGTTGCTTGTTTCATGCATGGGATTTCTTATGTTAATTGTTTGTGAATTGTTCACAGCAAGGGTTCCAAATCTGGGGCTTCAATGAAGTGTGCTGGTTGTCAAGGAACTGGTATGAAGGTTTCTATCAGACATCTCGGTCCGTCCATGATTCAGCAGATGCAGCATGCTTGCAATGAATGTAAGGGTACTGGAGAAACTATCAATGATAGAGACCGCTGCCCACAGTGCAAGGGAGAGAAGGTTGTGCAGGAGAAGAAAGTT